TTCGTCCGGCTTTTCCTCCTTTTTCCTTAACTTCCTTGTTCTCCGTGATCAAGGACTCGAAAACGTGAGTACTCGTTAATTCTTTCTTATCCCCTCGTCGAGATTCGGGAGTGTCATGCGGACGACCGAAGCGTCCATGTTTTTGCGATGTTGCTGACTTGACCGACGGGTAGTGGTGCGCCGTGTGAAGAGGAGTGTCGCCACATAGCGTTGAATAGACTGGGTAACCTGGATTTGCTCGGACATGGGTGCGACACATTTGACCCGCGAGTGCGCGAGATTTTCCTACCCGCCATCTTTTTCTTTGCCGCGTAACCCGTCGGAAAAATTTGCGTTTGTCATGGTGCGCCGGTAAAAATTGTTCCTGTAAAATAGTTTAGGCAGATCGGAGCTGGCCTGAAATCATCAGGATCCGCGTGCGACAATTCCGATCACTTTCGGAACGCGGCGACTAGGCGTTAACTTTGAAAGTGTTTCTACAAATAAATGAAGCAACCGGACCTGGTCTGACAGGGAACACAGACTATTACATTTTGGAATAAATAGGCCATTTATTTTATAACTTTTTTTATTATTGACTCAACCTTCATCGTTAAATCTCCATATCCCCCGTAGTTGTCGCAGTTGAACTACGCGGAGCCGGCTATAGCGTGCTAACGCTTCGACGGCATTTTGTGAGTGCGCTACGGTCTTATCTACTACAATCACTACCTTGGATTGCTGCTGAGGCGACTTGAATCGTCGCTCCGACAACCCGCTGCTGAAAGGTTTCCGTGCCCGACATCTTAACTAGCCGCCGCCCGCATTTTCTTCCGTACATTAGATAAAACTGCGCTCTCGTTTTCACACTTCTAGGTGGCCAGCGAAGCCAGCGTGCGGAGAAAACAACAATCTATCTGACTTCCAGCGACCAGAGCCAGTCGACCGGCAGCGCTACCTGTCCTCCTAATGCGAGGACTGTAGCTGGCGCCAAAGACAAAATTCTAGCTGCGAATTCAGCTGACTGCGCCGCTGATGGCATTTGAGGCCGCGAAAATTTAATAAATTGTTTTTCCGCTGCCTCCTCCCGTCACAGAAAGACATAAGCCGTCAGTGTGAAAGAAGTTGTAACAAGAGATGTACTTGCGTCATGTACGGCTTGAATTACTCTAATTACTGCGGAAACAAGATATCACCGAAGACGTCGACATAATTGACGAAGTAGAAGAAATATATAATAACGTTGAGAATGACGGCAATGATAATGTAAATAATGATAATATTGAAAATGACGATGGTGATAAAGAGAATGATGATGAGAGTTACGATGATGATAATTTTAATGAAACACAAGAACGAACGATAGAAAATAGACGTAATTCCGATAGTTTATTAGATTATAAGCGAGCAAGATTAAACGTATTTTAAATTAATTATAGCATTTTTTATAAATATTTTGTTAGTTTTTTTATTGTATTAAGCTTATTGCAAAATAAAAAATTATTTTTTTATTATAATAACAATTGTTGCAATCATTAACCTTTTATTTATTCAGTAAATTGATATACCTTTAATGAATAATAATATGCACATTTAATGGAATAATAATAATTAAATAAATAACAACAATATTACTATTTTAATTAGATATTTCACTCTCTTGAGATTTACTATATCGATTAAACAAAAAAGTCGAATGTAATTAATTAGAATCAAAAATAAAGAACGAGCGGTGAATTTGAACTCACCGATTATTTTTTTTTCTTTGGGCAGAGTCACCTCCTTCACTGCGACTTTGCCTTCAAAGAGCCGATTTTCCGCGCGCTAACTCGACTATGAGAATTAATTATGACAAAAAGATAAGTGTTGGATTATTTCAAAAGAAGTATATTTCCTTTGCAAAATCTTAATAAACGTTTAGATTGCTGAGTAACTGCCAGGGACATAGAGACCAGGTTTGTTGCCCTCAACTCGTAAAAGTAGAACTATTCAAAGAACTTATCTCTAATTTTATTTTTTATATTCGTCGATAAGAATTATGTGAAACCAAATCCCACTTTTTTGCTTATCCGACTCCTGGAGACGCGAAAAGTCTAATTTTTTAAATTTAAACCATATAACCCGATGACAAATCACACGCTCTACAACTTTTCTTATATACGAGGGTGGTCTGATAAGTACTTAGCCTACAAAAGAAAAACGAAAATTTTGGAAAAGTGGCGTTTTATTTTTCAACATAGTCTCCTTTTAGTTCGATACACTTGGCCCAGCGATGCTCCAACTTGTTTAACCCGTTTGAAAAATACGTTTCCTCGAGGTCTGAAAAGTAGGCTTCCGTGGCAGCGATTACCTCCTCATTCGACTCAAATTTCTGCCCGGCGAGTGACTTTTTCAAGTTTGGAAACAAAAAGAAGTCGCACGGAGTTAAATCTGGAGAATACGGTGGATGGGGCAGCAGTTCGTAGCCTAATTCGACCAATTTGGCCATGGCGTCGGCGGAGGTGTGAACCGGTGCGTTGTTCATGAGGTGGAAGAGCACTTTTTTCTTCGCCAAATGGGGCCGTTTTTTCTGCAATTCGACGTCGAATCGGCCCAATAATTCGGCATAGTACAACCCTGTGACCGTTTTGCCCCTCTCCAGGTAGTCGATGTAGATCACACCTTGTGAATCCCAGAAAACGGTGGCCATCTCCTTTCCGGCCGATGGGGCAGTCTTCGCCTTCTTCGGAGCACTTTCGTCGGGTAAAGTCCACTGTTTCGACTGTTCCTTGGTCTCTGGTGTATACCAGTGGATCCATGTTTCGTCGAATGTCACGAAACGACGCAGAAACTCCTTCGGATTGCGCTTAAACAGCGTCAGACACTGCTCTGAAGTTGTCTCACGGTTCTGCATGTTTTCCGGAGTGATCAGACGCGACACTCATCGCACCGACAGCTTTCTCATGCCCAAAAGTTCATGCAGGACATGACCCACGAGGTCTTTTGAGATGCCTACGATCTTAGCTATCTCGCGCACCTTCAATCGTCGATCTGCCAATACGAGATCGTGAATTTTTGTCACGTTATCCTCCGTGGTAGGCGTTTTCGGAGCACCTGGACGTGGCTCTTCAAAAATTGATGTGCGACCACGTTGAAACTCGTTAAACCAATTTTTGACGGTCGCCATCGAAGGAGAAGAGTCACCGTACACAGCATCCAAGCGCTTTTTGATTTCGCTGCGCGATTTCCCTTCCAAAAACAAGAATTGAATCACCGACCGATACTGCTCTTTTTCCATTACTCAAAAATCAACGGACACACTTGTTTTCGCACGCTCTCAAAAATAAAGTACAACTCCGATCCGGCTAAAATCTTGACAGTAACCATCGAGAAGGTTGTACTACGTGATAGAATATTTCTTTTGCGAGAATGGCGCCATCGGGCGGTTAGGTTAAGTACTTATCGGACCACCCTCGTACATTATAGCTATAAAGTTGAAAATTTTTGAGTAAAACGCAAAAGACAGATAAAAAAGGCCTAATATCGTGTTTTGGACAGATAAACATTTACTGTACAAATAGCTCAAGGTTTGACAAGTACACTACCTAATATCATCAATCAGGATAATATTCCTCAACGAACGAAACGGGTTTTATGTTTTAGTATACGCGTAATTGTTCTCCTTATAGGGCAAATTTGACTCTTTGTCACGATCGGTATACATTCATTCCTCGCTCTATACTAACAATGTAGTACAGTATCACACTAACAGCTTAATAAGCGATGTCGCAGGAAAAGTCTTGGAATCACTATTCAACAAAGCAACAGAAGAAAATCCAAATCATTATCTCGGATCGATAAAGGCGTGAAGAGATCGCTGCAACCACAATTCCCAAAAGCATGTTTGTTTTATTTAGAAAAAGAAAGTGGATCGTCCAGTTTTGCAAGCTTTTTCCACACTGTACGTCTATTTCGATCAATCAACATACGCGATTAGTCGAACGCAGCAGGTGTACGTATGTGCGTGTCTCTTTCTCTGTCTGCCACACATTAAGTGTATCGTTACGTACACGCATCTCTCTCATTTCTTACTTTACACTGAGATATAGATACATACGAAATAATACAGAAACACAACGAGTTAATAAACTCATTCGTTATAAAAGTTGTAAAGAAAAACTTTATAATTTTTTGGCATGCCCTATGCCCTTCATTTAAAGAAAGCAACTTTTGTTAACAATATCTCAAAAATCAGACATAATTTATTTCAAATATAAAAAATTCTTATGTTTTCACTCCTGATATTTGATGATTTTATTTTATTAAATTTCTGATCTTAGGAGTTATTCTATTCCTAGGAGGATCTTAGGAGTTATATATTCCTCTTTGTATTCCCCACTCTTCATATCTCTCTTATTAGACCATTCAATCTTTCTCTTTCTATTCTTATACAGCGTGAGTGACTTACTAGGAGCATATACAAACGTATTCTATCAGTTTTATTTTAATTTGCTTGGACATGATGTGTTTATACCGTACTGACAAAAAATTATTGTTTTATTTAATTGATGTTATAATTTATATTGACGTTATATATGTGAGGAAATAATTTTTATTTTAATCAACATTGCAATACAAAGCATATTAAAAAAACGTAGGTTTATATTTAATTTATTACTATATTTGATTTGAAATTATTGATTTTATATATTTAACAGATGTATACTGAGGTGGCAATAAATTGAATTGCGAAACGTTTACAAGAAAAACAAGGTGTGTAATTATTTACAGGGATAACTCCTAAGATCAGAAATTTAATAAAATAAAATAATTTATTTCAAATATTGCACAAACACATATTCGAACAATAACTGCAAAATTTCAATGTTTCAAAAAATGAATTTTTTCTTGACTTGGGTATATGTAACGTTAAGTAATTTAGTACGCAAATTAATAGACATACTTATAAGATTTATACATAAATTTAAAGACATATGATTATTTGACTATTAATATAAACATATATAATTTCATTGTTTCAGGTTTGCTTTTGAAAATTATGAACTACCTGTGCGAAAATAACGTTCTATCTAATGAAGCTTTCCTAGCATGGGAGAAAAACGAAGATAGTTTTGAAAGAGAAGGAAAATCTGTTGCAGTTGTTTCACTGAAGTCATTTTTTATTCCTTTAAAAGAAGTTGAAGATATTTCGAGCGGGGAAGATGCGTGAAAGCTGATAGGTCATAAATAATGAAATACCGACCATCGATTGTTTGTGGTCACATCAATCCCAGTCTTTCGCTGTACTAAAGATCTTTATACATACACAAATATTGCAAGATTCTAGAGGCGATACTTAGTTTGAAATGGATAATTGCAGCCAAATTACTGTTGCTTTATCAAATTCATACCATTAAGTTTTAGAGATGAATATTGCAAATGTCATAAAGGGGTGCGTGTATTATAGCGTATGAAATTATAAAAACTTTACAGTTTTCGTAAAGTTAATAGTATAGTTTATTATAAAAAAAAAGTGGACGAATAGCAAGCATGAATGCAACGATCGTATTTGAGATACGTTATACATATTGGAAATAAATATTTACAAATCATTATAATTAATAGAATACAAATATAAATACAGTTGTTTACACACCTCCACACTAGCGTGAAGTCTCGCATATATATGTATATGTATATGTATATGTATATGTATATGTATGTGTGTATATATGCACTGAATCTGTAAATGTAGATATAAGTATAGATACATATACTAATAATATATGCATATATATACATATAATTTCATACACCGATACACGTATGAACTTTATCAATACAGACGACATGTTGAAATAAAATATTGACATAATATAGTTTGATTTATTCAACGTACTGCCAGCTAGTAATGTAAATTACATCAAAAGTAAAATGACAAGTTCTTTCTTACTTGATTTCACTCGATCGGCATATTATAAATTGGATAATTTAATTTTTTATTTAAAAAATATAAATTTAAAAGCATAATCATTATTTGTGTAATTTCTTACAAGTAATGTGTAGACTTCATTGCATTATGTATAAAATGATGCACACATCTTTTTAAATAAGCTCTATTTTGGACTATATGATTATAGATTGAGACATAATAACAAATCATGAAATAAGTAAGATATTTTCTTATGAAAGTAATATTATTTAGTACGTGATTCGACAGAAAATTTAATTCTTAGTTTAAGTGTGTTTGTTTGTAATAAATAAAAATTTTGCCGAAAAATATGGTATTCGTCTCTGATCCTTATCACGAGTTAGGTATCTTGGATCCTCCATTCTCTTTTAGTGGTTCGAAGGCAATCTAAATCATCGTAAAGATGAGATTCGTTTTATTTAGATTTTATGGATCCTTAAAAGTAGAGAGAGATTACGTTAATTGTTCGATAACGAATAACCACTGGCTAACACATGTATGGAATAGGGATACAGGTGATGTTACTTCACTTGTTCGTTGCTTAAACAACGGATCTAACTTGAGGAAGTACAGGATTGTTCTATTACAGATACCCAGCGAGACGATTAGTTTTAAGAGAACGTGAAGTTATATACCTTCGTAACATATAATTTTTTCATAATGTGGCCAGATCTTTCTTGATGAGAATGGATGAGTTATCCTAAGTAACCTTTAGGACGAAATTGGTTCCGTGGAGAAGATGTGTAACATGAGATAGGGGAGGCCCGGGTAAAACAGACATCCCGATGTTTCTGGAATTATGAAAATATAGGTATATTCACTACGACATAAGCATACGAATTCGGTTTGAGCGTAGTACTTACAGCGATAATAGCGAGTGTAAATCACCTTTGTTTGTATTTGACAGCCGAATTACGACTTTTTACATATAAAAAAATTAATCAATTTTCCGATATAATATTTAAAATATTTTAAAAACAGTATAGAGCTGCTATATTAGTTAATAGTTAACTAATCTATTGTGTAAACTATTGGTTAATTTTTGTAACCTTATTGCATTAAAAAAATGATTGTGTTTTCATACCGGACAAGATGGACCCGGGCAAGACAGATACCCTCTAAAATTACTTTTTTTTTTAAATGTTTATTTTTTTTTTCAATTTCGGTATTTTTATGTGTAATTTCGAAATATAATTTGTTATTCAGCTTAATTATGCAAAATGATTTCCCGTAAGATATCAATTTTCTCCCGTAAATTAAAAAAAATTTCAGTATTAAAAAAAACTTCTTTACTTGATCAAATATTTTTTAGTGTAATAATTACTCATATTTGATAATTTGTATGTTTAACTTGCACTAGAAATGAAATAGAATTTTTTTTTAGCTTTTAGAACCTTTTTTCTTAAGGTATCCGTCTTGCCTGGCGATATTTGAAGCATATAAAATTTCATGACATTTTTTATCGACCTATTGTACGAGTTAAAATAATTTTTCAGAGTTATATGGTAACTATATAGACATGCTGATTTTCATGCCAACTTTGAATACATATATAATTTTTGATGGATATTTTGTTATAGTTTGTTATTTAGAACGTGATTGTTTTATTTTTCCTTAAGATTTCTGTCTTACCCGGGTTTCCCCTGTTATGCGATACAGCATGTTGAATATGTGCGAATAGCTCTTAGATTTCGCGCAGACATTTATATGGAAAAAGAGCGACTTAAGTAATTAATAACAAGACTTAGTCTACAAAGTTAAAATATATTGTATATAGAAAAGTTAAATTATAAAAAATAATACAGGTAAAAAAACTAATTTTCATAGTAATAAAAATTATAAGTTTCACAACTATAATCGATATGTGCATGTACTACTGTGGGCAAAAAGTAAGGTGAATTTTCAATTTAAACTTCGCGGGCTTAACATTTCGGGCTAGTTCTTTTTTTCTTGAGTTGGTAGGACTGCGAATGACATCTGGGACAAATTTCATGTCAATGTCATCATCAGTAATACTACTGTGGGCAAAAAGTAAGGTGAATTTTCAATTTAAACTTCGCGGGCTTAACATTTCGGGCTAGTTCTTTTTTTCTTGAGTTGGTAGGACTGCGAATGACATCTGGGACAAATTTCATGTCAATGTCATCATCAGTAATATATTTACGCTTGTGTTTACCAAACGACCAAGAGTGCATGTTTCGATTTTTACAATGTCTGATTTAATTGAGCAAAGAAGTGCCATCAAATTTTGTTTGCGGAATGAAATTTCGGCTGCGGAAACGTTGAGGATGTTGCGGAAGGCCTTTGGTGATTCTACCATGTCGCAGAAAAATGTTTATAAGTGGTACAAAGACTTCAAAGAGGGTCGAGAACGTGTTGATGACTTGGAGCGCTCCGGACGACCATCGACGTCAACAGATGACCAACACGTCAATAAAGTGAAGGAATTAGTGCTCGAAAATCGTCGGTTGACTGTTAGAGACCTTACTGATATGATCGGAATATCAGAAGGATCTGTGAAAACAATTTTGAAAGACCATTTGGGCCTACGAAAAGTCAAATCTCGTTTGGTACCGAAAACGCTCAATTTCTTGCAAAAAAGTCGCCGCGTTGATGTGTGTGAAACAATGCTTTCTGACTATCAGGACAAGCTCAAATGCATGATTACGGGAGATGAGACTTGGATTTATGCTTACGACCCTGAAACAACCGACCAATCAAGCGAATATCGTGCTAAAGGCGAGGCCAGACCGAAAAGAGCACGTCAAAGTCGTTCAAAAATCAAGGTCATGATGACAGTTTTCTTCGATTTTCGTGGTGTGGTGCACTATGAATTCCTTCCACCCGGCCAAACTGTTAATAAGGAATATTATTTGAGCGTTATGCGTCGTTTGCGTGAAGCAATTCGTCTAAAAAGACCAGAATTATGGGCCAACAACTCTTGGTTTTTGCATCACGATAATGCACCATCTCACACTGCACTCGTTCTTCGTGACCATTTCGCCAAAAATTCGACGCATATCGTTCCGCAACCACCGTATTCGCCTGATTTGGCTCCGTGTGACTTCTGGCTATTCCCAAAACTCAAGAGACCACTCCGGGGAACGCGTTTTGAGTCGATTGAGGAGATAAGAGCTGAATCGAAGAAGGCGCTGATGGCTATACCGGAAAGGGACTATTTGGCATGTTTCGAGGATTGGAAAAAACGTTGGCATAAGTATATTTTATCGGGAGGGGATTACTTCGAAGGGGATGACATTGATGTAGAAGAATAAATAAAGATTTTTCATTTTACAAACAAATTCACCTTACTTTTTGCCCACAGTAGTATGTGCGCGCTCGTGTGTGTGTGTTATTTTTTATTAATTTTTTTTATGAGAGTTGAAGAATGCTTCATATACCGGAACAAACTACCTTGGCTCGCCGTCTGTAATACTGCTCAATTTGGGCTTACCCATCAATCTCTGGTCTGTCTATTCTGCCTATATCCTCCGCGGGAACCACCGCTAGGCATTACTTCTTCGAGAAGGTCTCAGCTGGTTCAGCTGTGTCTTCTTCCATCACCATCGTCCGATAATCTTTTTTTTTCAACATCATTCGGTCCTCCTCTGACAAGACTCGGCCTCAACACCTACGTTCCTTTACATAGGATAAAATACCCACGTTTTACCAAATTAGTTATCTTTGTTAGATCCATTGTGTCTCATTTTTTCGAATCTCTTATAAGGATCAGTTGATTTACTATGGATGTGGAGAAGGCTATTACCGTTTCCTATCCCTCCGGTGATCTGATAAGGCACTTTTCAAAGCCTTTAGGTGTAAGAGAACCACTCCAGGTATGAAGCGTTGGCAATCTTCTTGGCATCATGGACATTTAAATAAGTTGGGGTAGGCGGGGCATTCAGCGCTCCAGTATACATTGATACAGGGGAGATAGTTGCAGTTGCAGCCATGGCTAGTGCACCCGTATTAGTTAAAAGGTGATGAGGCCGTGATTTCTACTCGTCCAATTAACATATGGAATAATACGGTGGATCCAGCAACCTTTAGCGTCTTGATACCATCTTCGCTACCACGCTTGGATCATTTCTTGCCACCAACGTTTCCTGCTATTCATCAGCATGGTTTTCTTCAGTACGCTTTTATTCTCGATATTTGTCTGCTCTCTGATATGCCATTAAAACAATGGGTATAATTCCTGCAATTACTGAAATCCGATACAAAGCTGTAAGCCTAGACGACTCTAGGTACAGCTATTCTACGAATTTCTCGGTAAGAGGCTCCGTTTGTTTTAATGTTTTTCATAGCATCATCTCAAATCGGGGTTCCGTATAAAAGTACAAAGCTTATTACTAATGAGAGCTGGGCGCTTCGTGGCTGTTTGTAGTATTAAATTGATTTTCGCTTACGCACAAGTTTTTCATCGATTGATCAGTGTAAGGGGTTTCTAACACGTTTTTGTCTCCTTGTCGAAGTTGTATTTCTTTTTATCATCCTGCTGCATTCTGCCAACATATTTATACCCCACCTTCCTTGATATCTACGTTCAAATTCTTTTAAGCTTGGTGAAACCTTTCACCTTGTTCTTCACTAAAGTTACCGTTATTTTCAGGAAATTGATCAATATGAGAATCAAGAAAATGAAGCTTTGCGTTTATTAGGCTGCCTAATTTCTGGTAATTGCGTACTATTCTTTTGACAATATTCATATACTTTACGTCTTTTATGTTACCCAAAAATTTTGTTGACACCTCTTTACATGCTGCTTTCTCGGATTCATTCACAGTTGTGTCAAAGTTTTCATCTCTAAATAAAGTATGGATTTCAGGACCGTCAAAAATGTCTTCTTTTAATTTAGCATCTAATTTCTTATGAAACACTTTTTCTAAGTATTCAAAACATTGGTCATTTTTGTCCAAGACTTTGACTAATTGTTTCATCGACCTAAGCTTTACATGCAGAGGAGGTATAAAAATTTTAGACGAATTCACGAAAGGTTCTTTAAGAATATTCTGTTTTTCAGGTTCAAATAACTCTCTTGGTGACCACTTCTGTTTTTTGTAATGATTTGTTCTATCTCTACTGTCGACTATACAAAATAACATGGATATTTTGTGAATCTAAATTGTTGTCTTAATATCATGGATAAAATTTTCAAGTTTTCCATATTTGCCAATTATGTTCTTTGTAATTTATTTTTGTCAAAACCATTTCAAGATTTGAATACTCTTCTTTGAGCGTAGTTGAATGTGCAAATGGTATAGAAGCATACTTGTTTGTATTGTGAAGAATTACTACTTT